GAAAATAAACAAAAATTTTGACATTGGCAAGTAAGTATTACATTTTGCAAAATTTTTCATATTGGCGGCATACAACAACAAGTATTGTTTGAGAAATCGGAAAGCAGTCAAGTGTGTAGATATTCATGTTTATATGTATGTTATGCGTTCTAAAAGAAATACCACTACTATAGTACCATTAGGTTTATGGTATTGGGCATTGCATGGTATCATACATACATAATGTAATTTGTTTATAGCTCAAAAAATTAAATAAAACAAAAGAAGGTGTTTCATTCCGCTTATGCAAAGTTTTTTAGAATTTAGCAATAGGTTGTTTTTTTTTTTTTGCGTTTCACGTTTCTAGAAATATCCAAAAATTGCATATAATCTAAATAATAATAATAATAGAATAGCAAGAATTTATAAAATGTTATTTTTTTTTCTTCTTTGCAGGATCCTTTTCTATTATTTAGATTATTCTTATTATTATTATTATACTTAAATTTTATATTTATAAATATGTTGATCTCTGATGTCCTATTTAGTCAGGCTTTAAGAAAGTATCCGCAGTTTTGGGGTCTAAACAACAAATATGTAAATTGGCAAAAAGATGGGAAGATATTAGCTGACGAGTTAACTGTCACAACAAACACGACAATAACGGTAGAAAATGTCTGTTTAAAATATAAGAGAATTAGGGAAAGTCTCATGCGCCTTAACAAAAATCCTAAGGGAAGGCGACGCACGAGACTGGTCGCGTACTTGTGGTACGCGATCGAGTTAGGTTTGCAGCATGCTGCTAATAGAATTTCGAACGACATACTAGAATACAAGGTAGAACCAAGCGAAATTTCTGAGCCAATCATGATGATTGAACCAGAAATTTCTGAGCCAATCGAAATGATTGACAACATTTCTGAAAATGAGACAGAACAAATAAACAAACGTACAAACGTACAGACTAACGTACAAATGGACGTACAGACGGGCGAACAAATGAATATACAGACGGAGGAACGGACAGATCAGGACACTCAGAGATCAACATTAGCCGTAAGAAGCCCCAATAGGCGTAGATATAATATCAGAAACCGTTCACCGATATACGACGAGGGACCAAGCACATCGGCGGAAGCAGCGCGAAGAGAAAAGATGAGACGCCTTGCTCCCGCTGCAGACCAAAATGAAGGACAGGATGTGCAAGAAGCTGACAACACAGCGAACGTGGAGACGCAGACGGTGAATAGTGAAATTGTTGAACCAGCTGCAGACCGGGAACTGAAATTCACAGTGGATATCGAGGCACTGCGGGAGGTCGTAGGGAGGTTAAGTCCTCACGACAAAGTTGTTCAGCTACACTTCGACGAAGTGTACACAAACGGCAAGATGAGATATTTTCGGACCGAGGATATATTGTACGGTTGCGGCTACAACAACTGCGGAAAAATTACAACAACGGAAGAGTACCGCACAGTACTCTTCTTCGCTGTACGTAGCCTGCTGACAAGCTTCAATATATTGATCAGCGCCACTCCCATAACCAACTATAATGGAGCTCCAGACGAACTGGACAGATGCTTAGGTATCGTAGAGGAGGCCGGCCTGGACGTTAAAGCAGTAGTCTGCGACAGGAGCAACCCAAACCTGCACACATTGGGAAAGTTTCGAAACGGAACTTATAAACGAAAGCGAGCGGACGGCACCATTTATATAATATACTATCTGACCGACTACGTACACCTAATATGCAGCATTTACTGGCTGATGACAAACAGCAAACTGTTCGACACTTCCGTCATCACTAGGGCGCATGCGAGAAAACTCAGCACTTCAAATCACTTGAAGAGAAGAGGTGCATGCTTAATCAACACTTCTGGACAAAATGTAAAAAACTGTATGCAGCTATTCACTCCCGCAACAGTGGCAAACTTAAACGTCGCTGTGCGGAGAAAAATTATCCATAAAGAACAAGACTTACGCACTTGCAAAGTTATCGCTTCTCTGACTGAATTCTGCGAAGTCATACACACAGGCGAAATATGCAGCGCCCAATGGGAAGGGCAGAAGGCGGTGCTGACAAAAGTGAAAACCTGTATAAATGCTAACTTCGAAACAGAAAAGACAACTAAATCCACCTTGCAAACCATCGACAAATTCATGGAAATAATGGATGGCCTGCTGGAGGCTTACCCTGGCATAACCATACACGCCTACAGGGTAAGCCAAGACCTTTTGGAGAGATTTTTCTGTAAGATGGCGCCAAGCAGGAGAACTAAAACAAGACACGTGGAAAATATAATGAAGCTGGGCACCCGCCTAATGAAACAACAACTAGAATTTTGGGGAGACGGATCCACCATTGATGACGATTACGAGCTCATTGAAAAGCTGGATTACACGACACCAGCCCAGGCCGAGGATGAGTTCATGCCTTACGATTTGAATGGGGTACCGTTCAAAGTAACTGCCAATCGTCTGACCGTTAACGAGGCGGAATACTTTAGGCTGCTCACAGGCTATGGAATAGCCCAATACATCCGTGAGCAGCTAAACTGCCAAGCATGCCTAAGCGACCTAACGCTAACGAGAGAAGAAGCATGCTCCGAAACCGATGGCATGCTAGTCGCCAAAATACAGGAACACGACAAAATCCTGGCTAACAAGCATCTGGAAGCCGAATTTCCGAGGCTTGATGTACTCAATGTTTTCTTGGAAGCCTTGGGCATCTATTTGGGAATTATGAAGTTCCACATGGTTGAACGCAACATCGGCAAGCGCACCCAAGCGACAATTCTAAAGCAACTTGACTTTTTCAAGAAAAAAGGCTCCTGCCCCAATGGAAGAAGTCACCGGACTAACCTCCTAGGCTTCATCATACATTTGCTGCTGATTGACAAAAACTGGATCCAAGAACCAGTTGCAAATGTATCATCATTTTGAAGTCGTGCTCGTCCGCTCGCAAAGTCAAATCCAGCTATCCCGTCGCCGCCTCATATAAATGAAGATTCGCTACATGCTAAAGGTAAGTTTGCATTTATCGTTACTTATTATTACTTATTATTATGTATAATTTATTCATTTCTTTTTATTTTATTTTAGATTCAAAAGCAAGCATACACCTCCACTCGTCGTTTCAGCATAATAGGATACTTCCGTAAGCCAATTGTAAGTTTGTGATCATCTTTGCATATATAAAATTTATTAATCACAATATTTTTTCTTTTGCAGAAATCAGCACACCGGCATACCAATAATTTTTATTTCTTTATATATATGTATGTATTAGCGGGGCTTTTTATTTATTACGTATTATCACATATTATTTTGTATTCCTATGTATTATTATTATTATTATTATTATTATTATTATTATTATTGTAAATAATATTGTAATTATGTATATGTATATTAAGCTCTTTGCTTCGAAGCCGACATAAAACTGTTTTCATTATCTAAAACCAATAGGGCTCGTACTGAGTTCGTATGACCCACAAATGATTGCAATTTGATTTGCTTCAGATTCAGATTAGTGTCCTTGTGTATGTGGAATTCAGATTTGCTTTTTCTTTCTTTCTTATTTTCTTTTTTCCCATTATTAAAAGTGACCTATCTACTGGTCTTACTGGGGGCTATTGTGATAAAAAGTGAATAAATTAAACGGCACAACTTAAGATTTACACATGACGAAACACATTTTAAACTTTTATGATGTAAATAAAAATTATTTTTACATAGAGAAAGATTTTCTTTTCTTCTATTTTCTATGCACTCGCGTTCTGTATGAAAGATTGATTACTTTTCCGCACTTTTACGGCATTTAATTTTGTTCCTTTAAAATATCACCTGTTTAAGGTTTGCTGAGTCAATTTACCTAACTAAGCAAAAACGATGCCTCTTGCCACAAGTAAACACTACCATCGTGTTAGTAACTTCGCATCACAGATCTTTAAGGTTAGTAGTTTTATCACTACGGTTTATTTGCAGGTTAATTGTGGTTAAGTCTTCCTTAAATGTTTCTTTTCGATCCTTTCTTCAAAGTGTTTAATCTACGAAAACTTTGCATTTGAATGGTAGCCGGTTTTTATATACAGCCCGCGTCTCGCGCCCTCCTTTTAAGCTTACTTTAAGGTATGCTCTCTCTCTCTCTCTCTCTCATCTGCTTCATGTACAAGACACGAAACTTCTTTCCAGCTGTCAAGGGGGTCCGGGGGTCAAGTATTATTATAAGTTTACTGAATAGCTTATATTAGGCGTTTGCAAAAATTTTGATCAACAACTTCTACAGTTAAAAATGATAAAGGAATGTGGAATACTAGTGTACATAACGGTTGAATTCGATTCTTTTTATTTTCCTTTACTTAAAATAACAGTTTTTCACTTAATATTATTGATTGTTGCAAAGATCTAATACAATAATAAACTACATGTGTAGTTTAATAAACTTGAACATAGCTGCGAGCCTTGGAATGGATTACGGCCTACACATGAGGGAAAGTTTATACCACCGCTTCTAATTTTATACAGGAAGCGCAAATACAGCCACATGTGTACGACTTTCTAATAATTTGTGCGGCTGAGTATGGGTTACATCGCTACAAAAGTAGCAACATGAGATTCCGGATTAACAAATGGATTCTTAGATTACGAGACTTTTTTTTTTAATATGGCCAACCACATGCATGACATGCAAGAAAAAGAAGTAGAGAGAGGACGCCCGTAGCCTAGTTTGTGTGTGTGTGCGCGAAAGTTACGAAACTTGCAGTTATGCGCAATAATTATCGAATTAAGGAATACATACCACCACAGTGCATATTCTCCCCGCTTATATGTCATCTTCGCCATAGAAAGGGAAATTTCCGACCAACTGGCCATTAAGCCATTGGCATTTTCCATTTTTTATTAACATATTCGGGTTCGAGTCATTTGACTTTTGACTGAATGAGAAATTTTCCAACACGTCCAGCATATATGAATAGCTCATCTTTGGATAGTGTTCGTAGAGCGACTTATCATCGTAAAAGATAAAACGTTATTTGGACACGCCGTACCGATCGAAACGAATAATAATAACAAAGAGAAACACAGGATGTGGCCAGTGCATAACAACGCGGTGCTTCCGAAGATTCCTTAAGAGAATTGGAATTATAGGGCCGAGTATTGTCAAGCTGAATAAGTGTTCTCGGTATTATTATTAAGCCTCGTCTACTTATCCCGTCTACTATCCCTATTCTTTTATATGCCATCATTTTATTTACTCTCTACTGAAATGAAAATAAACCGAAAGGTATTGAAAATAAATTCAAATACTTGTCGTATTGTCAGTTGACAAGTAAAATTGGTAGGTGAGAACTTTTTGCACTTTTCACAAAATGCCTGAATATTTTTTTGAATAAATTTCTTTGCATGTATTGTACGCCTTTAGAGAATTAGCGTATACAATTCTCATTCATTTTGCATGTGTTGTACGCCTTTAGAAAATGATTCTCAAACATTCAACAGGTCTTTGTAAAAAAGCCATCGATGCGAGATTAAATTAAGGTTGATCCGCCTGAGTAACCGAAGGGGAGGAATCTCGACTAGCAAGTCAATGGTCGTGGGTTCGAATCTCAAGTGCGGTAGAGTTTTTAATAAAAGCCGATAGCCTTAGATGCTAGTGCTTTTAAGAATTTAGTCTTAGAATTTATTTCTGTGGCGAAATTAATAATAATAATAATAATAATAAATTAAGGTTGTATGTGTATTTTCACAGAGATGTATCATCACAAAATTTAGTTTTCTAATCAGTCTCGCACGAGTTCTTATGCAGTAAGGATGTGTTGACGCACTCTTTTTGAAATTGTAGCAATGCGGGGAGAATTTTAGACAATGAATCAGACAAGGAGCATAAGTGGAGTATGTGTTATTCAAATCTCTGCTAATGACATTCGTGGTGCACGTAGAAAGCTGGGAATTATATCTACATAAATTAAGCTAAACCTGAGAGTAATGTCTAAGAGATCCACAAAGCACATACAGATCAGTTCAACGCGCAAGCGATTTCTGCATTTTGATAGATAGACCTTGGAATGCCTTCCAACTCATTTTACAGCTAAGAGAATGCAATTCTCTTAAAAAAAATCTTCCTTACAAAGTAGTTTTTAGGTAAAAGTTCGACTAACGTCATTGGCGAAGAGTTCTCACTTTCCTCAAACTCAAAGTACATCTTGAGTTGATTAATGCTTGAAGAGGAATTCGCAGAATAAATGCAAAGAGAAAGAGAGAGAGAGAAGAGATTGCAAAAGTCACTATGACAATGATTCGAACAGGTATAATAATGTTTCCTTGGGGAAATTTTTGATACTTCCTCCTAAACAGTCAACGTTTTAGTAAAAACAGTATTGGGTTCGAAGCTTCCGTTCTCCGAACGCAAAAAACATTAGTTTATGACGCCGTTTAAATATATTGGTGAACGCCTACAATTAATAAAATTCGCGGCAACTATAAAAAAATAAAAAATTTGAAAATATCTTCTCTTTTTCTTCGAGTCAACAGATCAACAACAGATAACTGTGCTAAGTAAAAAAAAAAAACTATGTTACTTGTGCAGCCTACAACTATCGAT